AGCCTGCTGACACACCCTCTCTCCCTCAGGCCTGTGGATCCTGTTGCCCACCTTCTGTCCATACTGTTGCTAACAGGAGTTATCATGCTTCCCACTCCAAAGCACTGGTGTTACACTAAGTGTTTGTGTTGCATGCTTCAGGAAGGTCTTCTGTCTTAAAGCAGGATATGGAGCCTTTTGAGCGCACTCATTCCTGAGTCTCAGGCGGAGGCAGCCACGTCCTTTTCCTCCTCATCCTCATCATCTTCCTCCTCTTCCTCCCCCTGTTCCTCCTCTTCTTCTCCCTCCTCCTCCTCCTCCAGCTCCTTCTGTTCCTCTTCCTCCTCCTCTTCCTCCACCAGTACTTCTTCTTCATCTTTCTCCACCACCTCCTCTTCTTCCTCTCCCTCCTCCCCTTCCTCCTCCTCTCCTTCCTCCTTCTTATCTTGCCATTTTCTCATCCCAAGCACCATAAAGGAGGTTTCTGGTGTTGTTGGGACACCAAGTCTTCTCCAGGGTTCTCAGAGAGTCTGCTCCTCCCACATTGCCATGGCAGTCACACCATCAATCAAATCAAATCAGGGCTCCAGCAGCCAAGATGGGAAGGGCCCAAGCACTTTGCAGTCCCTGCCAGTCACTGGGTCCTTGTTTAAAGATGCCATAGAAGATAAGGTGGCTGATCTAGTGGGGTTCCTGCTCCTCAAATATCGCACAAAGGAGCTAATCACAAAAGTAGAAATGCTTATTGTAATCAAAGATTACCTGGACCACTTCCTTGTGATCCTCAGCCAAGCCTCTGAGTGCCTCCAGCTGGTCTTTGGCATTGATGTGAAAGAATTGGACCCCATCAGCCACTCTTATGTCCTGATCAACACCTTGGGCCTCACCTACAATGGGATGCTGAGTGGTGACCAAAGTGTGCCCAAGACTGGCCTCCTTATAAATATCTTGAGTGTGATCTTCATGGATGGCAACTGTTCCCCTGAGGAGAACATCTGGGAAGTGCTGAGTGTGATGAGGCTGTGTGCTGGGAGGAAGCACTTCATCTATGGGGAGCCCAGGGAGCTCATCACCAAAGCGTGGGTGCAGGAGGGGTACCTGGAGTACCGGCAGGTGGCCAACAGCGATCCCGCTCGCCACGAGTTCCTGTGGGGTCCTCGGGCCCATGCAGAGACCAGCAAGATGAAAATCCTAGAGCTTTTGGCCAAAATAAATGGTACCATCCCCAATGCCTTTCCTATCTTGTATGAGGATGCTTTGAGAGATGAGGAAAAGAGATCTCAAGCCAGAGTTGCAGCCAGGGCCAGTAGTAGGGTCAGGGCCAGTGGTAGGGTCAGAGCCACTGGTAGGGCCAGGGCCAGGGTCACACCCAACAGCTTCTGTCGCCACAAGTGAAGTCTGAGGCAGATTATTCACTCAGTTTGAAGAGAATAGTCACCATTCTAAGTAGTGAAGAGGCAGGATGGGGCTTGAGAGGATTGAGTATATAACACCTTTGTGTTTCTGCTATGTAAGAGTAATTTGGAGATTATTTTTTCTCTTTTGGTATTTTTCAAATGTTGTTCCTATTAATAGAAAGTTTAATTAAGTTCAAATTCTGAGTTTACAAATGACATTGACCACAAATGCGTTGCTGTTTATGCAAGAAGTGAGTATTTTGCCTATTTTGTAGCTACAGTTATTTTGTACTACTTTTGTCTTTTAACCTTCATACTAGCTTTATAAATGATTAATACACTACCTTTACTATATATTTACATTTACAATGAGATTTATACTTTCATATGTTTTCTTGTTACTAATTAGCAACCTTTATTTCCACTTAAAGAAGTCCCTTTAACATTTCTCATAAGGCTGGTTTAGTGGTAATGAACTCCTTTAGCTTTTGCTTGAATGGAAAACTCTCTCCTTCAATTCTGAAAGATAACTTTGCTGGGTAGAATATTGTTGCTTGGAAGTTTTTCTTTCCTTTCAGTCCTTTGAATATATCATGTCACTGTATTCTGGCCTGTAAAATTTCTGCTGAAAAATCTGCTATTGTTCTTATGGAGGCTCCCTCACATGTAACAAGTTGCTTTTCTCTTGCTGCTTTTAACATTTTCTACATTTCGCTATTTTGTAAAATTAATTGGGAAACTTTCCATCTTATTTTGTGATATTGAACAACATAACATGGCATTGGAAAAGAACTTTCCTTGGAAATGTGAAAGAAGACTGCACTAAAATAGCTGGTAAATAGAGGAATCGAGAAAAAAAGAAAAAAATGGTAAATTCTTGCCTTCCCTTATCCCTTTTATTGTGTTGTTCTGTAAAAGTAAAAGATACATACCTGGATATGCTTGGATTATTCAAGAATTGAGGAGATATTAAATCTTAATAAATAAGACTCCCTACTCATTGGCTCTTTTATTCTGCAGTCATTAATTAGGGATTGACCCTGTGTAAGTAGGAGGGACACTGGGATAAGCAAGACGCCCCCATCCATAAAGTTGGGGTCTAGGAGCAGCACTCATATCAGGAAAATGGTGAGATAGTCTCCAAGTTCTAACTAAGGACTAAGACCTAAGTACTAAATAACATGTAAAAAAAGGGATGAAAAAGTGGGGGCTACAGGTAATACTCAAAAGTAAATGCCCCAAGCCAGGGCAGTTTGGAGCTTTGGGAAACTGCAAATTCCTTCTGGAGGAGCTGGGTGTAATGAAGCTGGGTGGTGGCAGTGGCCAGACTTGCAGACTGTGTGTGTTAAGGGTGACAGGAAAGCCTGGAATAGAAAGTTGCACTTAGCAGTTATTTTTCGGATGATGGAAAAAACAGAGAGAAATCTCCACCTGGGACAGATGGGGTAGGTGCCCTACACTCTTGTTCCAGTGCAGCTGAATACAGTGCATGGACTAGATGCTTTATACACATCATCTGCAAGGAATTCTGGAGATACATGATGATACTGCTTTGAAGTGGTGCCCAGAAGCCTCTAGACTGACACTCTTTTCCCTGGCCATGGAAAGCCAGAACCCACTGCATTTAAAGGACATTTGAGTTAGATAATCTTAAGTGCAGTTTGGACAGATGTAAGCAAGGGCTGTATCTTTGATGGGAGTAAAATGAATGAAAATCATGGTTTGCATGGAAGAGCAGCCAGAGCAGGGAGGATGGAGTTGGTCTTTGACTCAAATTCTAGGAACTCTGATTTCCATCCAGCTGGGGAAGTCTCCCCCACATTGAAATTAAATAATAGTTCCTCTAAGAGAGAAAGTGTACCGAGTTGTTTTTTTTTACATTTTTATTGAGTTATAGTCAGTTTACAATGTTGTGTCAAATTCCAGTGTAGAGCACGATTTTTGAGTTATACATGAACACACATATATTCATCGTCACATTCTTTTTCACTGTGAGCTACCACAAGATCTTGTATATATTTCCCTGTGCTATACAGTATAATCTTGTTTATCTATTCTGCATATGCCTCTCAGTATCTACTAATGTTGAAATCCCAGCCTGTCCCTCCCCACCCCTCACCCCGTTGGCAACCACAAGTTTGTATTCTATGTCTATGAGTCTGTTTCTGTTTTGTATTTATGTTCCTTTTTTTTTTAGATTCCACTTATGAATGATCGCATATGGTTTTTTTCTTTCTCTTTCTGGTTTACTTCACTTAGAATGACATTCTCCAGGGATATCCATGTTGCTGCAAATGGCATTATGCTGTCGGTTTTTCATGGCTGAGGAGTATTCCATTGTATAAATATACCACTTCTTTATCCAGTCATCTGTTGATGGACATTTAGGCTGTTTCCATGTCTTGGCTATTGTAAAGAGTGCTGCTATGAACATTGGGGTGAGGTGTCATCCTGAAGTAGGGTTCCTTCTGGATATATGCAGAGGAGTGGGATTCCTGGGTCCCATGGTAAGTCTATTCCTAGTCTTTTGAGGAATCTCCATACTGTTTTCCACAGTGGCTGCACCAAACTGCATTCCCACCAGCAGTGTATGAAGGTTCCCTTTTGTCCACAGCCTCTCCAGCATTTGTCGTTTGTGGACTTTTGAATGATGGCCACTCTGGCTGGTGATACCTCATTGTAGTTTTGATTTGCATTTCTCTGTGATATTGAGCATTTTTTCATGTGCCTATTGATCATTTGCATTTTTTCCTTGGAGAATTGCTTGTTTAGGTCTTCTGCCCATTTTTGAATTGGGTTGTTTGTTTTTTTCTTACTAAGTCGTATGAGCTGCTTATATATTCTGGAGGTCAAGCCTTTGTCGGTTTCATCGTTTGCAAAAATTTTCTCCCATTCCGTAGGTTGTTGTTTTGTTTTACTTATGGTTTCCTTCGCTGTGTGGAAGCTTGTAAGTTTAATTAGGTCCCATTTGTGTATTCTTGCTTTTATTTCTATTGCTTGGGTAGACTGCCCTAGGAGAACAAACATATGGACCAGTGAAACAGAACAGAGAGCCCAGAAATGAACGCACAAACTTTTGGTCAACTAATCTTCGACAAAGGAGACAAGAGTATACAATGGAACAAAGACAGTCTCTTCAGCACATGGTGTTGGGAAAACTGGACAGCAGCAGTAAATCAATGAAGCTAGAACACTCCTTTACACCATGCACAAAAATCAACTCAAAATGGATCAAAAACTTAAACATAAGACCAGATACAATAAACCTACTAGAAAAAAATATAGGCAAAACATTATCTCACACACAGGGTTTGTTGCATCAGGTAGCAGTAACTTTAACTGACACAGCTGCTATTTCTGTTGTTAGGTTTACATAAATCATTTAATTACAAAGGTAGTAGTTTATAGGTTCCTATTTCAAAAAAGTCTAAAAATACAGAAAAATCACAGTATCCCCTTTTCAGAGTTTCTCCACAATTCAGCTCACTACTCAGAAATGACTGCAACTAACAATCCAATGTAAGTTGTTTTAGAGCTGCCTATGGGCTTTTTCATATATATATATGTGTGTGTGTGTGTATTCTAAAAAACATAGTGGTTTTATTTGGCATACTTAAGTAATCGTGTGATATTGCTCTGCCACCAGCCTTTGTCACTTAACAAAAAGAAGGCAGGACCTTCCTATGACAGCACATACAACTCTACCTCACTTTTGAAACTACCCCCTGGAATGCTAAAGTATGTATATATCATAATTAGTTAAACAATCTCTTCCTGTTGGACACATTAGTTGTTTTCCCTTTGTTGATGATTAACAAAATGAAATGAACATCTTTTTTATTTTTAATTTTTCTTGTTTTGCTTTTGGGGGAAGTAATTAGGTTTATTTATTTATTTATTATTGTTATCAGTTTTTGTTTAACAGAGGTACTGGGGATCGAACTCATGACCTTGTACATGCTAAGCAGGCACTCTACTGCTGAGCTATACCCTCCCCAAAATGAACATCTTTGAATTCTTGGATTAATGTGGATGTTTTCTTTATATATATATATACTATATATATATATATACTATGAAGAGCATGGAAAGGGTGTGAATAGTTTAACAATTTGTAAATGTTTCTGGAATTTTATTCCAAAACTGCTATACCAATTCATATTCTCATAAAAATGACAAATGATTAAAATTCTGAAATATCAACAGGGTGTTTCCTTTTTACTTTGAGAAGGGACAGTTTGGTCAGAATGACTAGGAGCCAGGGAAGGGGACCAGACAGGACACCCCAAGCTAGTGAGGGGCACTGAGAGCATCCTCTCAGTGAGAGCCATTGCAGAGTCCACAAGAGAGACCAAGTGCAAAGCCAAGTCCAGAGACCCCCAGGCAGGCCGGCAGCCAGGGCCCTGAATCCAGAGTTCAGTGTAGGGAAAAGGACCCTGAGGGAGAGAAGTTGGGGAGCGGAAGGTATACAGGACAAGGAAGAGGAACAGGCTGGGGAAATCTCTGGATCATCCTCCCCAGCTGGAAGTTGCAGAGTGGTCTGAGCGGCCAGGCCTATCGAGTGAATAGACCAACAGCATGCCAGACACTGCACCCCAACCTTAGAGTCTCCCTACCTCTGTCAGGAACAGCACACCTGGCTCCCTGCATCATTCAGAGGAGCTTCATCTCTTGACTAGTCTAGCGGTCTAGTGCACCCTCGCCAGTGTCTCAGGACTGGGAGCTGCCGTGATGCCTGCTGGGGGCTGGGGACCTTCCCCCTGGGTGCAGTGCAGCCCTCCAGCGAGGTCAGGGCTCTGTGAGTGAGTGGGGTTGGTGACTGGGGACAGCTGAGATAGACCAGGAATACCCGTGAGCCGTGAAAGGGGCTGCGGAGCTGCAAGGAGGGTGAAATTGGAAGGGGAAGGCCAAGGGACTAACCTCCTCAGACTCTGCAGATAAAGGGCTGAGTATGTACATGCTTTGAAAAACTGTCCGGGTAGTGTCTCTGGCTCAGGCTGCTTCCCAGGGTTTCTGAGTTCTTGGCACAATAAGGACAGGTGTCCTGTGCTATAATGGCTGGCCCATGTTGCCACCAGACATAGTCTGGGATACAAGATTGGCCCAACGTGCAGATATTTGCAGGGTAGATGGAAAACCCATGGGGATGACACCCTTCCTTATCAAACTGATAGGGACATGTGGAACCCAAGACAGGAAGTACCATGGACCATCCTGTGGAGAGCATACCCACCTCCAAGATGGTCTTGGGGCCTGAGGAAGACATATCCACAGTGACACCCTCAGTGGTAGTTTCCCATGGGAATTATGAGTTATGTGAGCAGATGTAGCACTTTGTGTTCCTTCCATGGAGGCAGAAGACCCAGGCATGAGGCAGCCTCCACATTTTGAATCAGTGAATGAGATTCTCCAGTAATTTGATTCATTCATGCATTCATCCATCAAATATTCTTGAACACATGCTGAAAAAGAACACCAAGTAAACAAAACAAAAGAACGTGACAAAACACTTAAGTCAGTCTAGGTGTGAGGATGGTGAAGTGTAGTCAGATGTGAGAGAGTTTTAGGAAATTATGAACCATGATATGCTGAGGACAGTCTATCATGACCCTGAATTTTGAGATAATGGCCTGCATGCTATAGGATATCATCTCCTCTCTTGCAAACACAATTGGAAGCTAAAGTTGCACAAAGATTAAACTTAGGAAACCCTTTAATGGGGGAAAGTACTCAGCCAGAAAATCCAATTATAGAAAATTTTCCTGCATTTAAATATATTTTTTTCTGTATATTTGTGGCTCATGTATACCGTTACAATAATGACCTTTCAATCTCACATTTGCTGTCAGGTCACTTTTAAGACTTTGTTCTTGATAGCCATTGGCAGGAC